AGTGGCATATGTAAATTGTCAATGAATCAATTTTCGTTGTTGTTTTGATTATCTGATTGGTTCTAATTCACATTTTAATACATTTTTAATATATTTAGACTTAGTATTCATCTTTAATTTATCCTGTGATATTTTATTCAAACAGATAAAGGGACAAGACATTTTGAAGTTACGTTTTTTAGTGTAGAAATAAGCGGCCAAAACGTCAATTGTCAATAAAAATCTGACCACTCTGACATCAAAGGAACCGATTCAAGCTGTCGCTACCAGTGGTGCGTTTGATTTGATTATCGGAGATATTCGAGCGCTGCAAACGTGTTTTAATTGACACTTCGAGCGATCCCAAAAGTGTTTGTTTTGCTTTTGAGCGAGAACATAGAGCGAGCTCAAAGTTTTCAGAGCAGAAGGATCGATAAATTGATAAAGGACCCCGCAATAATCTTATGGAAATTGGGTTTCTGTCAAATTGTCTGAATTTTTGATATGTTGTAGATTTTGTCATCTTGAACAAAAGTCTCCATAGGCACAAAGTGCCAAAATGAATATTTTGGCAGCTACGGGGCTGCCAAAGCTCCCCAGACCCGTTGCAAAACTATTCATTTTCAATACTATTTACAGATGTCAAAAGCATATTTTAATTATTCTAATATATAGGGAAATGTTTTTGAGGTCACTAGATTCAACCCTCATGTCAGATTGGACAAATTGACCGTTGACAGCTGTCAATACACTGTCAACGAAGAATAGAAAAGTAAATATTCTCTGTTGACATTAAAAGTTTGGGCTTTTGAGGGAGCTGAATTCAATTCTAATCTCAGATTGGAAAAATTTACAGTGTACAGCTGTCAATTAACTGATAACGAAGAATAGAGAAGTAAATATTCTCTGTTGACATTGAAAGTTTGGGTTCTTGAGGTCGCTGAATTTAATTCTCATGCCAGATTGACAAAATTGACAGTTGACAGCTGTCAATTGACTGTCAACTCAATGTCAACGGAGAATATTTACTTCTCTATTCTTCGTTAACAGTGAATTGACAGCTGTCAAACAGTCAATTTTTCCAATCTGACATGAGAATTGAATTCAGCGACCTCAAAAACCCAAACTCTCAATGTGAAAAGAGGATGTTACTTTTATATTCCTCGTTGACAGTGAATTGACAGCTGTCAACGGTCAATTTGTCCAATTTGACATGAGAATTGAATTTAAAAGCGAAGGGGGAATTTATGGTATATGCTGCTTTTTAGAGCCATTGCCCCTTATTATTAAAAATTTTTCCATTTCGCTCACTTTTTGCTTACAATTTTGACACAAAAACCAAAAACAAGAATCACAAAAAAGCGAGGTTATGTTTTTCACTCTTTTCTGTTTGATTTGATCACATACTTTGATTAGTATGTGGATTTGATTCAATGCTTTATTATGACGTCATCATTTCTAGGTCTACCCGACACTCGTTCGCTCGAGTTTCAAATCAAACGACCCTTTGGGGTCTAGCTGCGGATTATTAGTGCATTTTAGGGCGATATTTTGTAATTTTGGCATATCAAATAGACCTTTTCATCATGTGATGAGCGCAAACGCAGCCACCATGTTGAAATAGCGGTAATTCAAAAGTTTCGTACTGTTTTGATCGACAATGGCTGGGAAAGCAATATTATCTCTACAGAAAAATTTTTCATTAGAAAAAATCGTTGATGGTGATTAACTTTTTTAAAACTCTATGAAAGCGCATAGTTGTGAGCAGTTGAAAAGGTGGTTGAAGTGTCCCTGCGCATGTCCTTTTCATAATGCGTGCCATGTTTACATTGGTCAAGTATGGATTAGTCTAATTTTTGCTGCGGATAGATAACGTTGTATTGTAGACAATTGTTTCATTTTGTGGTATGGTTCTTTTTTTCGGGCGTACGAGTTATTTTCAAATATCTTCAACAGTTTTAAAAATATCACAGCTAAGAGTAATGTGCGATATAATATGATCATATACGATTCCTATTTAAACAAATTATTATCTGTGTATAGTTTTATTACGTTTGTAATTGAATTTAAAATTAGGATCGCGTGAAGGTACACAGTGGCTCATATTAAAGGGGTACACAGTGGCTCGTGCGCCACTGTGTACTCTGCTAATTAAATAGATGTAGTATAATGATTTTTTTTAACAGAATGCCGCGAGAAAAGACGGAGAGAGAAATTGGAAACCATACAGAAGATGATATGAGATAAGCTTTACAAATGATAGATAGCGGTGAAAGCATAAAAATGGCTGCTAAAGATTTAAAAATATCGGCTACCACTATACCGGCTATTCTAATACGTTGAAAACGTCTGATAATCCTAAAACTATGAGTTTAGTTTCAAAATATAATATAAATAGGGTTTTTACTAATGCACATGAACGAGACTTAAAACAGTATTTTATAGATTGCTTTTGATGTTTTATGGTCTTACTTCTGATGATTGCCGTCAAGTCGCTTATCAAATGGCGAAAATAAATAATATTAAAATGCCCAAAAATTGGGAAGATCGTTCGAAAGCCGGAATAGATTGGCTAAAAGGATTCCGGAAAAGACATGCAGAACTGTCGTTACGTAAACCGGAGCCTTGTAGCTTAGCCAGGGCAACTGCATTTAATAAAGCAAATGTTAAAACTTTCTTTGATAATCTTGAGAAGCACAAAAAGACATCCAAATGAATTTCCTGATGGTAACAAAATCTATAATTTAGATGAAACCGCAACTTGTACCAACCAAAAGCCTCAAAAAGTAATAACACTTAAAGGGCATAAAAATGTAGGTAAGGTCACAAGTGGAGAAAAGGGGACCCTTGTTACAACTTGCTGCATTATTAGCGCCAGCGGACAATCTTTACCGCCCGTTATGCTTTTCCCGAGGAAACACTTTAAAGATCACATGATTAAGGGTGCCCCGGCAGGAACATTGGAATTAGCAGCTTCAATTGGTTGGATGAACAGCGAACTTTTTCTGCCAGTCATTAATTACTTCATTAAACATGCATATTCAACGCCAGAAAATCCAACCATTTTAGTAATAGATAACCTTGAATCTCATTTATCAATAGAAGCACTGGATAGAGCAAATGCATCAGGAGTTTATGTACCAACATTTTATCCTCAAACCTCTGCTAAACTGCAACCCTTAGACGTCAGTGTGTTTGTTCCATTTAAGTGTTTTTATAATAACGCTTTAGATTCGTGGCTCCTTACACATCCAGGAAAACCACTCACCATTTATAAAGTCGCAAAAATTGTAGGAATAGCTTTTATCAGGGCAATGACACTTTCAAATATCACAAGTGCCTTTAAAAAAGTGGTCTTTTCCCATTTGATCGGGATGTGTTTACGGGCATAGACTTTTTACCTAGTAACCGATCGTCCCGTTCCTGATGTATCTGCCATTAAAAGTGAATCAACTCAGTGTGGTTCCCAATATTGTTCAACAAAACCGTCAACTTCCTCTGATTAACTGTCATATCTGATGCAGTTATTCATTTATTTCGATCTAACCCTACTCAACTATCTGTTTCTCGTTTATCTGATCTTCCTGTGAAATCGCCTCATTTATTTATAACTGTGAATTTTGTTATTCCATCACTGCAGTTTAAACCCAATTCAAAGTTCACTAAAGTTCATCCCAATTCACAAAGTTTATCTGTTCAAACTTACGTATCACCGCAACAATTTCGAGAACCTCTGAAGGCTGATCCAAGACAAAATAAACGAAAGCCACAAACATTAGGAAGGAGTAAGATTGCTACGGACACTCCCGAAAAAAAAAAATAAAATTGAGATGGAAAGAAATGCAGATGAAAGAAGAAAGGGCACTAAGAAAAATAAAAACGCAAAAGTTGTTTGACAAGTTCTAAAAAGTGACTCTAAAGACGAAATTGAAGAAACTTTGTCACTGTGTGATTCTGATGATGACAATTGGTGCGATGACGAAAACAGAAAACTGTGATTCTGATCCTGTCTTACTATTATCACGGATGCCAAAAAAGAGGGATTATGTGCTGACTAAATTTGCCACTAAAAAACAAATATTTTTTTTACGTTGGACAAACATCGTCAACAATTTCATATGCCTACTGAACCAGATTTATCCTACATATACGAAGAAAACATACGATATATTTTACCACACCCTACTCCTACTATGTCTGGAAGCACTTCAAGATAACAGTCTTACTATTATTTTGGTGTAAATTTTGACATGATAAAAAATCTACGTTAATGTTCCCTTTTAAATTTTAATTTTTTTTCAAGAATGGCTGTTTATTTTTATTTAGTATTTCAGCACATCGGTTGTTTTACTAGTACCTACGTACTTAATGTTATTACCATTACATTACCATGTTTTTTTAAGCAGCATTTTCAATACTTGTGTTTACCAAATTCGGTATACATATTGATTAAAGATACCTCTACTGATTAATGATACATTTAATGTGAAATCTACACAGACAGCCTAAAACAAAAAAATGTTATTTGATATGGCAGTACTGTTGATGGTGCCTCGCGTGGAATTTATTAGAACTATTGACATGGCACTTTTATATATTGTAGGCATGTTCATAATGTATACGTTGGGCAAAACAAGTTAGTTTAATTTTTTTTAGGGATATGGCACTGTTGAAAAGGGGTGCGATATATACTTTTTAATTACGAATTCTATTAAAAATTGTATTTGTCAGTATACGCAGAAATAGTCCATTAGTACATAAACGAATTGGCGCTGCTTATTTTTGATACTATTACTACCAGTATTGTTTAGTTATTGTATATCAATGTTTGACTATTTAAACTCCATAAAATATAGTTTGTTTTGTTTATTTGACATTTTTTGACATTCATATCAAATTATGTCCACTAAAGACAAACAAAGAGCTTTATGTCCAACAGTTTTTTGATTTTTCCTTTGTTTTTTTTACTTTCTTGTACCAAAATTCGTGATCGAGATACTTACACCTGATAACATTATATTATGCAAAGCACTATTTTTTCTCGGTATAAATTTATTCGTAATAAAGTTTTGGTTCTCCTGAAAAATTGTCTGCTCCTCAATTAATTTTTAATAGACGAGTAACTCATATTTCAATGGATAAATTATAAAATAGTAGTTTGTGCAACAAGAGTGGGACAATCAACTCGAGTTATACAGTATATTTTTTCAACGACGCACTAACGAAAATCTACAAATTTAAAAATGTTTTTAGGTAATTTATACAAAATTACTTATTTTAAAATAATTTATAAATTTTCCTAATTTATAAAATAAAATAAACACAAAAAAAGAGTATTAATAAGTAGTCCTCAGTCCAGATTCGAACCCGGGCTTTACGCTTAGAAGGCAGATTCGCTGTCCTCACCTCCACCGCCACTTTTGGGTTTTTAGTTTTAATACTCGCATAGTTTGATTAAAATTTATTTATTTTTTTTAAATGTGGTCCAAGTAAAAGTAATTTGCAAATTGTCATCATCGTAATTTAAAATCAAACGTTTTCTTTATACAAACTTTACCATCCCTTTAAGGATGTTATTAAAACTCCTCTTAGTGCATCCTAGGTAGGACCGAAATCAAACCCTTCAGGTGCCCCAACCCCCTCAAATTTTTTTTTTTAATCCGAGACGGCTCTATGTGTTAACTCTTCTTGTATGTTTAAAAAATGTGTGTTCAAAAATTGGAGGCTCTAGGAACATTTTTGGAGGTTCCCCAGTTATGTAAAAAAATACATGTTTTAATTTATTTTGACTTTCAAATATGTTTTGGTTACTTTTCGTTTTCGTTTTATTCAAGTTAATTAAATTTCTATAGCTAAAAATATTATAATAACTATTGGTTCTTTTGTTTCAGATACCAAACAAAGTAAAATGAGCGCAAAAACTCCTACCAGGAAAACCACTCTTTGCCTATCTTTGAAACCCTTGCCGAGATGTCCCAGCTAAGACACTCCACGAATGCGGATGTAATTCGACACTACTTGTTTGTCAGGAATGAGAAAAATTGCATCATGGCAGGCAAAGATCCACCTACTTCAATAAGAGCAACAAAAACTGCAAACACTATAGTGGACATCTGAAAGAAGTTATCATTTCCAACAATAGCATTTAAAAAAGTTACTGAGAAAATAAAAAAATTGAATACTGACTATATGACTCTACTCAAACCATATAAGGGCAGACAGCAATCTGAAAACTCTCTTTGATATTGCTAGTTTTAAATGTAGAGACTTCAACGATTGCCATTGTTAAACAAAAGAGAAGAAAATGCCATCACAAGAAAGGGAATTTGTAATAGATTAGTGAACTACCAGAAACCTAGTCATATGATCAATTGATGTAGCATCCTCCAGAAAAATAGCAAAAAGAAACCAAAGAAAGAGGGAACGATCCCAAGAAGCTGGAGAACAATTTGAAAAACGCCCAAAATTAAAGTCTAAAGATACTGCATCTGGGCCAGGAGATTCTGAAAATAAGACTAGGAATGATCCTGGAAAGTTGCCTGACTCTGATCCCCAACCCTATTGTTCTTCCACAACTGAAGACATTTCAAAATTGAAAATGAGGGTAAATCTAATAGCTTTTGCTAGGGAGTGCGATCGTTACGGTGTTTCAGACAGAAGCGCTGCATCACTTTCTTTCGCTCTGTTACAAGATTTGGGCATAATTAATGAACAAGACACTTCTGAAATAATAGATCGAAATAAAGTTCGTCGTGAAAGGGAAAAGCATAGGAAAGAATTGCAAAATAAGAACATGGAGGTAGTAAAAGCGTTATATTTTGATGGACGGAAAGATAAATCCCTGACACACACTAAGAAGGGCGATAAGTATTACTATAGTACCATTACAGAAGAGCATATATCCTCGGTAAAAAAGCAGGGTTCCATTTACTTCGGCCATTTAGCCGTATCATCTGGATCAGCTGTCGTCATCAAAGATGCCATATTGAACTTCTTTAATAAAAAAGAAATATCGATTGAATCGTTAATAGGAGTTATATGTGATGGCACTAACGTCAACACAGGAACAAACGAAGAAATAATAAAACTCTTAGAAATTGCCCTAAATCGCCCTCTTCAATAGTTCACTTGCATGTTACATCTAAACAAACTTCCCTTACCCCATCTTTTAATATAACTTGATGGTATTATTCAAGGTCCGAAAGCTTTCTCTGGTGCCAATGAAAAATCAATACAAGCTTGTGAAACCTCCCTCTAGTCAGATTCTCGAAAATCGGGAGTTACACCATTTTTGATTTAGATAGAAATATTTTAAGTACTGATCAGCTATATTTGTATGATATGTTGCATGCAGTATCCCACAGAAAATTTAGTACATTTAGCTACATTTATCGTGAAAGTATATAGTCCATTGTGGTTCAATATCAAATGTAAGCCATTGTGTACTGACGGTCCACGACATTTGTGGAGATTCATTACATAATATTCAAGATATAGGCCGACTGATTTAAGGGAGATAGTAGATGTCGTAATACAGAGGAATGGCTTATTTAGCCACTCAGACAACCTGCTTTTAGCGATGCTGGCAGATAACAGAGAGCACATCCGCAAGTTAGCATGCCGCAGAATAATTGCTTTTAGGAAAGAAAATAAAAATTCAACATCACTCCTTTAAACATGCAGGCAGATGATTACACAGAAATCATTTATTGGTATAAAGCAGATAGGTCAAAACCACCAATATTAAAGCACGTCTCTGACGAGGGCCTGGAAGATTTTGTATCTGGCCAAGAGACTAACCCACCCTTTTTAGATTTGCCCAAGTTCCCCTGTCACACTCAGGCCACTGAAAGATGCGTACATTTAGTTACAGAGGCATCATCTAAAGTTTGTGGAGAGAAAAAACGAGATGGTTTCATAAAATCTCGAATCGAGTCTAGAAAGCTTATGAAATCATTTAATTCTGTCAGAATTCAAGCTTAAATAACTTTTGTTTCTTTTAATAATTATATACGTTCTAAGTTAAATATTTGTTAATATAGTATATTACATTACGAGTGTGGAAAGTGATATTTTTCACACGAGTGGGAAATATTGTAGCACGAGGCACAAGCCGAGTGCGACTATCACACGAGTATGGAAGATCACTTTTCACACAAGTGATGTACAATATTTTTCCAACGACCACAAAATAATTTCATCAAAAAATGTCAAAAAGCAAGTTATTATTATAATATTTAAAATGTATTTAAAAAAATAATCAATAATAATTGTATTTATTTAATTTTCATATTTTTCGAAACAAAAATAAACAAAAAAAAAAAAAACAAAAAAAAACAAAAAAACAAAAAAAAAAACAAAAAAAAAAAACAAAAAAAAATTCTGCAACGACCTAGTTTTGAACGCGGGCCCGTGGACCCGTCGTGCAAGCCAAAGTTCAAATTGCAACTACCCTACAACCTGAGCTAATTGGTCTTCTGTAAAATGCATTTTTAATTCGATTTTAAGTTTAAACAGAATAAAAAGCCAAAATAATGAGATGTATGTAGTTATTTTAAAATTATTTTAACAATTGTTAAAAATAAATATCTAGAATCTGAGTTAATCGTCAATTTTAATAATTTAATCATCATATCGGTTTTACTGTTAATATGGACATTACATAAATCAAAAAAGAAATGATGCGTTTCATATTATGTGACAGTTGATGCGGAAATGTAAAACGGGGTTTGTATTATAATAAATAAAATGAATTTAAAAAACAATCAATAATTATCGTATTTATTTAATTTTCATATTTTCTAAAAAAATAAAAACATTCTCCCCTCGCAAGGATTTGAATGCAATCGCTTGCCAGGTCTCATAATGGCAAAGTTGATAAAGTTTGATACTTTACCACCTGAGCTAATAGGCCTTGCGTCAATTGAATGATCTAATCGGTTATGTGTTTAACCAGAATAAAAAGCAAACATAACTTAGTTATTTTAAAATTATTTTAATAAGAATTGTTAAAGATAAATATATAGGATCTAATTTACAACAATTTCAATAATTTAACAATCATATCGATTTTAGTGTTATGGACATTACATAGATAAAAACAGAATTGATGCGTTTGATATTTTGTGACAGCTGATGCGGAAAGTAGCATATTTGCATACGGTTGGAAAGTAAATTCCTATTTATACGCGTGTGATATAGGGCACTTTCCATAGGACTATTATGGTGTGATATGTGTCACTTTCCTAAGTGGTCGTAGGAACACATATTTTTTGTATATCGGTACACATTCCTTTTAAGCTAAAGAGGTGGATTAAAAAAAAAATTCCCAAAAAACTTACTTTTATGAATGGCAACTTTTGCCACCCGGGCCTTTATCAAATTCGAATGAAAGTTTTTTTTCGATCCTACCTAGAGGCTATTCAAGCAATATTTCTTTCATATTTGAAACTTCTAGATCCACCAGTTTATGCTGTGTGCACCATTTTATAGTTATAAATTTAATTTTATTAACGTTTATTCTTGTTTTAAACGCATTCTTTTTCATTTATGAAAAGCACTATTGCATTCCTTTGTTCTCCTCAATGAATGTTTAATTCAAGGGTATTCTATTGATCGACCTTACGGATTTTAATTAAGAAATAGTTTTCGTTGGACTATCGGACGTTTTATCTGGAAGTTTTATCTGGAATTACTTCATTTTTTTTGTATGGCTAGAATGGGAAGGCGCGGTCGAGGAATAGTGGTGGCCAATGGTCAGCGCTCGGAATTCTCAGAACCTTTTAATATATATCGACATTTTCAGAGCGATAAATTTTTAAATCCCGTAGGAAATGTTAAAAACTTTTAAAAAAGAAAACATAAGTTTCCTGTGTGTGCTTTAAGGTAATGTGTTGAAGCAGAACTTGAATTAAATATGAGTTACATAAAAAATTAATTGGAAGACAAAATAGAAGAGCATTTTAAAATTTTTAAATCCCTTAAATAACTTATTTATTTACTATATCTACTTAACCTCAGCAAGTTGAGCATCCCTGTTGCTTTGGGAAAGTTTCGGTGATAATAATAAATAATAATAATAATAATAATAATAATAATATTTATTGGCAGAAGTAAATACATGAATAACAAATAACAATTGGTAATATCGTCGCCTTAGTAAGAAAACCGCGTATCTCCACTTTTAGGTCAAATTGACCTTTTAATGCCATCTAATAGAAAAATATCAAACCTTACTAGTCTGAAACCCACGTAACTGCCAGAACAATATTTCCCGCCTAAAAATTTGGTCAAGCAAATCACGTATTTCCATGTGTCAAATTTAGGTAAAGAAATTCGCTTAACTCCTAGTTTGCCTAATATTTCAACAGTGTGTGCATGTGCTCGCAAGAATTCAATAAGTTAGTGAAGAAGTTTATTCATTTTTGAGCAAAAAACTTATTTATGGTGAAGGTAAGGTCATTGTAGTATTTTCAAAATATAAGGGCTTTAATTTTAAAATATCATAATGAAAATAAATGCATTCCTCGACAGCACTATTCTTAATAATCCCCAAATTTAAGCCCCTAATGTCTTGTTCATGATTTCTTAAAATTCGCCAAAATTAGTGGCTAAAACGCTTCGTTAAGTGCTATCTTCTGGTGTAAACTGGTGTAAATTATTGCAAGAACCGAATAATGACAGTGTGTACGATACGATAGTTACAAGCCCGTTACACTGTTTTCCACTTTTTTTATTAAAAAAAAAATAATAATAAATTAGGGTGTTAATTTTTTTTCTCTGAAGCTATTGGTTTTGGGAAAAAAATTCAAGAATAAAAAAAATTAAATAAATCAAGGATTTCATAAAAGTTTATCTCGAAAAAAGGTTTTGATATGAAATAAAGTAAGTGTTGCTAATTTAACCCCCCTATAATGTAACAGAAATATTGAAAAAATACCCGTGGTTAGTCCTTTGCGCTTACAGATTTTCAAGTTTCTAGCTTTACTGAAATCACCACTTTTTAAGGGTGATATCTCGAAAAGGGGTGGGCTGAGGAAATTTTGTTATAGGAAAGACCCATCTTAATTTCATACGAGCAATCAGTTCCTGAATTTTGTCGCATGTATTTAGAAACATCCTGTATATTACACATTTTTTAAGCGTGCAAATTTCTTGACAATCTCTTTTCCCTAATTGGCACATATGTCGTATTTTTCTAGGATTTACTAACTCTGGCAGCAAACAAATAAAATAGAAATTTGTCAGCTGTACATTTTTGTCTTCCAGAATTTTTCGTTTCATAAATTAACTAAAAACTAAATTAAACAAAAACCTAATAACGCCTCAACAAACTAAGACGATCACAATAATTTCGCACCTCTTCAAAAACAACTACCTATTTTTCGACACAGGAATTAACAAATTTAACTAAACAGCAGCTACCCTTTTAACCACGGGTTTCAAAGACTAGCAGCTTTGCCATATTTCCTGGTATCATTGTTTTAATAGAATTAGTATCGGAATGAAAACTATGTTAATCTTCGGTCCTGTTTAAAATTGGTAATCTTTTTGAAAAAAAGTTATTTAGAAAATAGTTAAGATATTTGTTATAGAATGCCGGTAAAGAGCCAAAAAATTAAATTTGTTAAAAAGTTGAAATTTTTGTTGTTTTTTTTTAAAATATAAGTTTTTCGCGGTTTAGCGAAATTCTTGGTTTATTTTTACAACGATTGGCCTGAACCATTTTTTTTACAATTTTTTTTAACTGCCTCAAATGTAAAATTGATTTTTGGCGGAGGAGCGCCCGTCATGTTTGCTCTTAAAAACCGTTTCTGCATTATTCCAAGCGGTTTAAGGTAAGTCTTAGCCATTTCCCCAGCTCACTATGCCATAACTTAGGTGAGATTTTACAAGGCTATAATATAGTATTTTCATTTGAGCATATGATGAAGTAAATTTAACTTGTTTAAATCTTCCTAGAATACATCGTAGTTTTTTAATTAAAAATGAAACGTGTACATCCCATTTAAAATAACTATCTAGCATTATTCCTAAATATTTGATTTCTTTTCGCCTACTAATCTTAGATTTTTCATCTACAGGGTGTCCGCCGGGAAGGAATACTACTTTGTTTTGCCGCCATTTTGGTAAACATTAGTCTTGACAGTTCATATTTGGCAGTCGTGAAGTAGACACGTGGCAAATTTATTATGGAAAAATATTCGATAAACCAACATGTTTTAATCGTTAAAACATTTTATGAAAATCAATCGTCGATTAGAAAGTTACGTGAAATTTTTGGGAGAAACAACGTGTCAACAAAACGCACTATTTATCGTGTAGTGAATGATTTCAAAGAAAGAGGGTCTGTAGGTGATATTGGGCCTATCACCTACAACTTTGGCCATAATTTTGCACAAGGATTTGCATTTGTTTCCATACAAAATTCAGTTGACATAAGAGCTTCTTCCACAGGACCATTTACGCCGCCGTACACATGCCAATAGGATGTTACAGCTCGCCCATGACAACCCCGATTTTCATGAAAAAATCATAATGAGGAACGAGGCACATTTTCATTTGAATGGATATGTGAATATACAAAATAGTCGGTTCTGGGCAATGAAAAACCCTCAAATTCATCAGTCACCTTTGCATCCATTAAAAGTGACAGTCTGGTGTGCAATTTGGTCAGGAGGAATTATTGGACCTTACTTCTTTGAAAATGAAAACGGCGTAACGGTAACTGTGAATGAGGAGCGATATCGTGATATGATTGAAAACTTTTTAACGCCACAACTGCATGCTTTGAGCTTGATTAACATGTGTTATCAACAAGACGGTGCCACATCGCATACAGCCAGGATTACAATGAAATTACTGAGAGTTATTTCAAGAAATGGCGATGTTGATGGGGCTCCACGGTCGCCTGATTTGACTGCTCCGGACTTCTTTTTGTGGGGATATCTGAAAAGCAAGGTTTATGCAAACAAACCAGAAAC